CCTCGCACACGTCGGACGCCACCTTCCGGTACCTGCGGTCAGAGCGCGGGTCAGGGGCGGCGCGGACGCCGCGCGGGGCTGCTCGGCACCCCGGGGGCCCTGGACTGGCGACCTCCGTTCTCCACTCCCACCCCTCCCGGCCCCCGCTGACGGCTCACTGCCCCGCGTTAGAGACGGGCACAGGCTCAGAGCCGGGAATGACCAGGAGTGACAGGCCTGCCTCCGTCACCGCACGGTCCCTCGGGCTGGCCGCCTCACTTGCGATAATGATAGTGCCTGCTGTTACTGTTGCCGAGGGGAGCATGAGGGAGCCAGTCTGAATTTCGTGGCCTTGCTAAGAACTGCGGTCCCTGGGAGCACAGCCCAAGAGGGCCGGGTTCAACCGTGGCCTTGGCTGCCGCGCCCTGTGGCCATGGGCCAGCGCGCCCTCTCGGGGCTCCGTCCACTCTCACCTTGAGAGAGCTGGACCGGATGACGCCGGAGTCCTCGACTCATTCATGCAGCATGTGCCTACTGAGCATCTACCACGCGCCAGGCACTGGGGTGTGGAGTGACACACAGCCCTGCCCTTGCAGAGCAGACTGTCCAGTGGGGAGGCAGACATCACCAAACCGTCCCCCACATCGAGGTACAGTCATGACTGTGACAAGCACTGGGAAGGGGCAGCACCTGGGAATCTGGTCCCTGAGAAAAGGGCCTTCAGCTGAGATCAGGGGTGAGCAGGAAAGAGAAGAGCATCTGGACAGCAGGACCAGTGTGTGCAAAGGTCCTGTGGTGGGTGGCCCGAGCCAGAGTGGGGAGCAGATGTGGGATGAGACTGGAGAAGGGCTGGTTGGCAGAACCCAGTGGGCCGGGAATCCTTTTAGGAGACCACAGGGAAGCCACTGCACACGTGGCCTCATCTCACTTGCCACCTGTGAGGCTCCCTCAGGCTACACTGGGATTCTGGGTCTGTGAAACTAGCATCACTGCCAAAGTGCCTGGGTCTGCCCACCACCCTGAGCCTGGTGCCCCTCCTGCCCTCACAGCTCAGCCACTGAATGAACATTCAGCAGTTTATCATGCAAAGACACATTTGATTAGTTGGAAAGAAAAGGCACTCCCTAAGAGCTACCCACCCGCAGCACCTTGATGCCCACAGTGTGCAGATGGTACAAAACGAAACTTGCCCTTGATATGGATCCTGGCTCTGACACTTTAGACAAGAATTTCTGCTTGCCAAGCCCTGTTGGGTGCACTGGAGTGGCTCCTGTTGGTGCTGGATGGAGGGATGGATGGATGGATGGATGATGGATGGATGGGTGGATGGATGGATGGATGGATGGATGATGGATGGATGGATGATGGAAGGATGACATAAATG